GGTGAAAGGTCCGATTCAAGACACTCAGGTCCAAGATTGGTCGTAACCCACTTCCTATATTGGGTTCAATGAAGTAGGGGCTGTAAAACCCCATATTCATATCGGCTGGAGGGACCGGCTCTATCGCATCCCTCGCCAGTAGGACTGCGATCTCCGCACGCAAGACAGGAGCATCGGCCGCCTTCACTGTCATGAAGCGGATGCCACTGAACTTGGGGGGATGCCGGGCGAACTGAATCGTATAGCCGAGGCTGATGGTCCGCAGAAGCCAATGAGACAGGTTGGGTAGCGCTAGCTTCCTCCATCTCTGGGTCACCTGTCCCGGGGCCTCTTGCCCTTTCCCTCACCGCCAGGTTTGACGGGGGCCTGGACAGGTGGGGCGGCCTGCCTACGCCCAGCTCCACGGCACCGCTTGCTGGAGGCTGCTGCGGAATGCGGCGCCGGAGCAGGGGCAGACGCAGGGGGCCGCCCTCGGCAACGAGCAGGCTGGGGCGCTGCGGCCGGCGGACAGGTGGAGGCAGCAGCTGCCCACCGGGGCAGGATGTGACGAATCGCCTCAGTCTGCTTCTGCGGAGCCGAGAACTTCTGGGCAAAGCTCTCGACTGCGTCGCCGAAGAGGCCGGTCTGGGACACAGAGACCTTGAGGAACCAAACTTTTCGGCATCCCTCATGTCCACCAGCCACAGCCAGAGATGGCACTCCTGGACCACAAGTGTGGACATCGCACGACCCAGAGAACTCGCAGTGACCTTCGTCGCTCGGAGCGCGAGGTCAGTTGCGGTTCGGAGCTCTTTCAGAACTTCTGGATCGTGACCACCCTCGTGCAGGTCCCTCAGTGCTTTAGCCTGAAGAACCTGCAGTAACACTGTAGCGTGGAGGCAGTTCTCCACAGGCCACATAAGCATCGCCGGACAGACCAGACGAGTACCTACAGACCTGGGAGGGGAGGCACGGTTTGGCGTATTAGGACACAACTGCATCGCAACCAATCGCTCCACCGGGGGGAACCCCGTATACCCCCTAGCTGCACCACCGTCGAGAGTGGTGAGGGAGGAGGAGTTAGCAGGTTGGTTTCCAGCAGAAAAAGGTGCCTTCCACGACCTGGTAAGCCTCCTCATGCGCCTCCGGGAAGAATGGCACCGTGGCGGGGCACTGAGAACCAGCGCGGGCCACCACGAAGAACCAATCGTCCAACCTTGAGGGCTCGGGACACGGTGGAGGTCTCCACTTGAGCCCTACCCTCACGGCGGTCCGGGAAAGCATAGCCGTCATTTCCTGATCCGATTCAGTCATTGATACAGTCCCAGAAGGCAGCAGCGCAGCAGAATCTTCCTCTCCAGAAAGCTCCGGCTCACCCTCCGATGCAGCGATCAACATCTGATCGTCGGGAGGAGTGCCGAAGGATACTGCTGGTACGCTCCTTGTAGAGGGCCCAACATGTTCCTTTGGCAGCTCAACTGGTTGCGGAGTGCAAGAGGAGCGATGGTCCCCCGAGGGTTGGTTCCCTGGAGGGTTTGTCATCACTGTTACCCTCAGACCGCCTGTGCTACTGCCTGAAGTAGCCCCCGCCTGACTGCCGCCATGACAAGAACTAGATCGAGGCAGAGGCAATGGAGCTCCGCCCCTTTAGAGGTAACGGAGGCTGGCCCGCAACTCCGAGATGGTCATCTTCCCGTAATGAGAACATGACTCATCCACGAACGCCACTTCAGCATGCTTAATGCCCAGACACGTGAGGCAGCGATCGTGACCATCACCCGACACCAGGTAATGACCGCATCCAGAAATGCACGGGTGATACGTTCTCTGTAGCCAGACGCAACATCGTCTTTACAAGGACGCAACTTCGAGTTTGCCAGACGCAACGTCGTCTTTAAAAAGACACACCCGTGAATGTTCTTTTAGGGAAAAAGCTATTTCAGCGTGCTGAAGCGCACAGGGGAGATGGTCGCCTGCAACACAAACAGGGGGTAGTGCAGCCAGCCTGATGTGTGCAACCCACTCGACACGGGAAACCACCACCTCTGAAGCGCCATACCGCCAACACCAAGAGCTCCAAAGAGCGCGCTGAACTCGTTCAGTCTTCTTCTCACAGTAGAGTAGTCAGGAGCAAAACGATGTGATCGCTCGGCTCCGAAGCAAAAAGCTGGTATGCGTTGCACCTGCTTCCTTTTTATGCTCACGCTGTGATCAGCGGCAGCTGGATGCAATCATCGCATGCCAATGTCCATTGGCTCGTTAAGTTTACACTCGAAGTAGATTGGTCTCTCGAAGCGAGATCCAATTCGTCGGTCAAGACGTGACGTCTCCGTGACTGACTGAAAGGGAACAGGATTTCCCCTTCCCATCATGCTTTGCACAGGGCTGGATAGGCTGAGTAAATGTTGAAATAAAATGATATTTTATGCATTTTGTATCAAGATGATAAAATTGGGTGACTTTTAATGTTTAATGTTCTTTTATGTTTTATGTTATGTTATGGTTACCACTGCGGTGAAGTGTAGAGCATCTGCTTGGGTTGAGGACCTGCTAACAACAATTAAAGTTGTTTTATTGATTAATTGATTAAAAACAACTACGGATGTAACAAAACTTAATAGTTTTGGGTGAAATTAAGAATGTTAACCTGATTCAACTAAATGGCATTGAATGAACCTAATGTAATCAACTTAAGTTTACTGAACTAAATAATGTTAATTACAGGGAACCTATTGACATAAAAGTGTTAAATAAATTCTATGTATCATCTGAGTGTAGGGTTAGGGGATAGAAAATACTGTTTTTACAGTATAAAAGTCATTACGCCTATGAAGAGTCCCCATAAAACATGGAAAACTGTGTGTGTGTGTGTGTGTGTGTGTGTGTGTTCTTCCTTTCATCTTCGGCCTTCTTCTTTGAGAGAGAATGGAGTTCCATTGAGTCTCTGGATAAAGAATTGTCCTTGCCATTTCACATTTTTAAATGCAAAAACATGTTCTGTATGAATGTCCCCTTACATCAACAAATTTTAAATAAATAAAATAATGTTTTTCCTACCAATCTCATATTTTGTTCCTGCAACATTGGCTGTGATGAAACCCTTCTTTTTCTTCTTGGTGTGGACCTTCCTCTTTACTCCATTCTGATTGGACAGTGTCGGTGGCATGTTCATGGGGGACATTCCTTGATCGTCTGTGAAACATTTAGCAACTGACCGTTCACTGCTGTTGATATATTTTACACTTTAGTATTAAGAAACACCATTCAACACCTACAAGAACGCCTACTTCAACAAAGAGGGTGGAAATATACAGGTGTTTAGGGTCTGTATGGATGCTCTGGTTTTTTGGATGGATGTTTGCGTCACTGCTGTAATTGTGTCAATCTTACCTCCATCATTAGGGGGTGAGGGCATATCTCAAACAGCTGACCTCTCACTACCCAGCATCAGAGACTTATGAGGCACAGTTTGGCACCAGTCTACTTCCTCCTCGCTGTCTTTGTGGCAACAGTTTTAGGAGGTGGCAATATCATCTGTCCACTTAGATCACGTGGCAGGGGACGAGGTGAAGGTCGGTTGTAGACTGTATATCTTGAAGGAAAGAGGTCAGCTTCTCCACAGAACCACAGATGGGCAGATAGACAAGGTGTCTGAGGAAGAGAGAAAGAGAAACAGTAAGATTGGTAATGTCAGACAAAGAAGAAGAGCTGGAGGGAACTGCACAGTCTAGCCAAGCGGTTGCTGTGTCACTCAAACCTATCAGCGCCGCTGACAGAAGGTTTCACCTCACTGATCAGCTCTTACTGCCTGATGGGTCTTCGGCAGGTGAGGATCTGTCTGCTGCTTGTCAAGCAAACGCAACATTAGCGCCGCTGCATCGTCAGTAACATTCTAATGTTCACTTTACATGTCTGTAATCTGTCACGCAGCAAAGCAGACGTCTAACAGCTAGTGTTCTATGATATACCAATACTAAAAAGGTATTGATACCTTGCTGTTAAAAACAGTATGATTCCTCATTTTATTAGTACCGATACTTTAAGAATATTTAAGAAAATTTTAATAAGTTGTGTTGTCTGACCAATAAAGAAATATGCACTAATTACATTCAACATAAGAAGGTTGTGTCAAAAAAAACAACACATTTCACATTTAAGCACTGTATCTTTTTTGCCAAAAAGCATGTAATCTATGACGTCCAAAGCTATGTTCACCTAAAAACCGTGTGAGTGCTTAAGTATCTGGTTCAAAAATAGTGAGTCCCAGTATGGTTTTCCTTACTCTAATACATTTTAATGTTTTTTTTTCCAATATCATAATTTTATATGAAGCCCAAATGAACTTTGCATATGAAATATAGTTATAGGCATAGTTAAAATAGACAGAATATATTAGATTTAATTTATTACTTTATGTTTTAAATTTGTGTACTGTAATCATTTTCAATTTGTGAAATTACTATTCTTTAAAATAAAATAAAATAAAATAAAATAATAAAGAATCAGTTGCAGTACTCGCTCTGTCCCGAGCACACAATTTTTTTTTTCATTAATTTATTTATTTATTTATTTAAATAAATGTTCAAATAGCAGGGCTGGAACAGACTGGTCAATGGAGAGATTTAAGTTGTTGTTGTTGTTGTTGTTTTTTTATAAATACAACTAAGAACTATACGTTTTTTTTTTGACAGATGGATGACAAATGATAACTAAAGCTGGTTGATACTAATTATTCATCACATATTTATGATGACTTTGCTAGAAACAAGTTAGGCAGATCCACTTTTATGAATCAGTTCAAATTCAATAATTCTTTTGATCACTCAAAAATATCCATGTTGCATTGTTCATGTATCAAAATGGTTTAGTAAATATGTATGTAGGTAAATATTGATATATTTAAGTATATAGTCAGAAATAAAATAAAATGAAAAACAATGTTTAACCATTTCTCAGTGTATTTAACTTTTGCATTAAACAATATGAATGTACTTTTTGATCGTCAAAAGGAAGGAAACAAATATATAGTTATATAAAACTACATCCCCGGCCCTACACATAACTCAAGCAATGATGGTGATCTTATCTCGCATAACTTACAAATATGACAATAAATGAACATTCAGTCAAATATACAACATTGCAAGTGACTCCTTCACATATCAGGATATCTTAAAATATCTCAAAATCTATTTAGAAATTCTTTACAGAGCCTTTTTACACAATGAGAGGGAATCCTTATTAAAAATATTAAAAAAATTACAATATGTCTGCGTTCTTGTACTCTGAACTGATAAAACTGATTGCAATGTAAATGATTTTGGATAGAAGCATCTGCATGAAATGCTCTGGAAAATTGTGCACAGTGCTTGAAAAGGTTTATATTCTGTTTGTGGGAAAGAATAATATTGCTTTAATTATTTAGCTTCCTTTGTCACCTTTTTTTAAAGATAATTTTTTTTAATTAAATGTTCATTCATTCATTGTTACTTTATGGCAACCCAGATGGCAAAATTTAATACAACACTGACTTCTGGTGGTGTGTTTGTAAAGTGCATTTGCACATACTGATTCCACACAAATGGACATATAAAAGACACACAAACAGATCACAGTTTAAGAATAAAACTAGGAACAAAACAAAACAAAAAAATTTTGATTTATAGATTCAAAGTACAAATAAAGATTTCAATGGAAACTATTTGGTCTCTCTCTCACCATGTTTACACCAGGTACTGTATTACCAGTGTCTCATATGCATCTCCTGTGAGCAGCAGTGAATGGATTTTGAGAAGAGGGTCTCTGATTTTGTGACTACAAACAACACATAGTAGTTCAGTGCTTTGCTGTATGTTGTTTATACAAATACACCAAATATGCTTCCAAATTTTAATACCACTGCAAAGATGGTGTTTAATTGTTTTACTCAAGAATCTGTCCAAAGGAAAGTGTTTTAGTGCAATGACTGATCGATAGGTTGTGCCCTACATTAGGTAGTGCTCTGATGTTGTCCTGGACATGATAAGATCACGAAGCATTTTGATCCCATTCACACCATTTATATTGATTTACAACAGCTTCAAACATGACTTTTCCAGTCATATTTATAATGTAATACTGAGTCTTTGAGTTTTTTATTTTAAACTCTACTCTATTCTCTCACTTTAAACTGTAATATTAATTTATAATTTGAATAATTTAAAGGAGACATATTATGCCCCTTTTTACAATATGTAATATAAGTCTATGGTGTCCCCAGAATGTGTCTGTGAAATTTCAGCTCAAAATACTCCACAGATCATTTATTATATCATTTTGAAAATGCCTATTTTGAGTGGAAGCAGAAACACGCTGTTTTTCGGGCCTGTCTCTTTAAATGCAATTGAGCTGCTGCTCCCCACCCCCTTTTCCGAAATAGAGCTGCGCCTTTACAGCTCGGACCTGCTAAAAACATGTTTTGGTTCTGATTATCATGTTTATCGCGCTGAAATCATGCGTTTTAAAACATATGAGTTTAAACTTCTGATATACGGTTTTCTGAGTGCACACATCCGAAGCACACGGACAGAAAGCGGCTGTCACAGCATGTGAGTACTAAACTAAGTTCTCATTCACACACAAGTCTACGTTAAAAACACACACGAGTTACAAAAACAGTCAGTTATGTCTGTGAAGGTAAACAGCTGGGAAATATATTGCATGTTTATTTTAGATCTGTGTGGCAGCAGCAATATACAGTAAATAAATCCATAAATCCACTGCTCTCTTGTCTCCTCTGAGGCTGGGACTGTAAATAGTGTTCTGTGCTCGTCTGTGCAGCCAAAGACAGAAAAGTTAGCATGTTTTGCTCAAACTTTCGCCATGGCATTAGAACTAGTACACCGTTGTCCCTTGCGAAAACAATGACGGCGCCGTGTGTGCAAACTTACAGATTAAGGGGCGTTAATATTATAATGAGATCCCTTTGCCACATCACCAAGGGAGCGAAATCAGACGCACTCGTTCTTTCAGATGCTTGCAGAAAAAGGCTTACTAAAACAAAATTACTGGGTTAAACTTTTTCACGTTTCCTTGGTTTGTAGATGCACCGGTGACCTGATTATAGCACTTAAAACCTGGAAAAGTCAGATTTTCATGATATGTCACCTTTAATGTTTTGGTTTGATTCTGTGAAGTTCCCAAAAACAAGAAAATTAGGTAACAATGTGTTCCTGAAATTAGCTCAATGCAAAACACTGCAATAAAATATATGCATAAAAAGCATCTGCTTTATCAATACAATTTCCAAATGATGAAATACTAATGCAATTAGAACTGTCGCTAAAAGAGACATTCAGGCAATTTATGAAACTACAGTCAATCTGTTACAGCACAAGACAGCAACACAATGACAGGCAGGCGTGTGTTTGATGAATGAGTGCTTGAGTAATCTCCTGCTATCATACATCACCCTGACAGCTCCACCACCCACAATCCACTCACTATTTATTTCCTCCGAGACGTCGCATCACTTCCTGCTAACAGCTGTAGAGGGAGTCAGAGAGCACACACTATTTCTTTTTCTATCTCACATTTGCTTTTGCTTTTCTACTTATCAGTTAGGTTAAAGGTAGGGCTTAGTGTACATTTTATTTCTGAACTGCTGCAATAAGTGCAAGATTGTATAATGCTACTTCACGTTCATCTGTTTTAGAGAACATTTAATTCACTTTTAGCACCACTCAGTGGACATTTCACTTCATAACGTCATGGCATACTAACTTAAAGTTGAATCAGGCGAAAAAAATAGACTCAGATTACATTTACAGACTTAATTTATTATTATTATTATTATTATTTCTTTGAAGGGATAGCTCACACAAAAATGAAAATTCTGTCATTAATTACTCACCCTCATGTCGTTCTAAACCCATAAGACCTCCGTTCATCTTCGGAACACAATTTAAGATATTTCTGATTAATTCTGAGAGCTCTCTGACCCTCCCATAGACAGCAATGTAATTACCATGTACCAGGTCCAGAAACGTAGCAAGGAGATCGGTAAAATAATCCATGTGACATCAGGGGTTCAACCGTAATTTTACGAAGCTACGAGAATACTTTTTGCACGCAAAGAAAACAAAAATAATGACTTTATTCAACAATTCGTCTCCTCCGCATTAGGCTTGCCGCGACAGACCGTGCTGACGGTGATACCATGATTCGTTTCTTATTTAATTGGTTCCACATTGTTTGCTGATTTTTACTTTATTTAAACTTTGTGTAATTTATTTATTTTATTTGACATCAAAAGGAAAGCGAGGAAAAGAGGGAACGCCCCTGCCCCCACGGTAATACCGGTATTATCGGTGTTGTCACATGTCGATTAATCGGTGGGAAAATTTCCTCACCGTCACAACCCTACTCCCTGGTGCCATTTTGGAGAGTATCCACTGAACGTAAACGGCGTATGCTATTCTGTGTCAGCTGCGTCACGCGGATACGTTGTTTTCGTTCAAATCAAAGCGAAAACAATGTAGAAAACGTATCCACGTGACCAGGGCCGACCTTAGCTGACGCGGGGCCCAGTGCGAGGTAGGGAGCGGGGCCCCCCTTGGTCCGTTCGTGATCACATTCCTTTCAGACTTTTCTTTCAGATTTTCAGATTTTTC